TAACGAGGTCAACCCACTTCTATAAATCGAAAGGGGACTGCGACCATACCAGAGACCACAACATCTTGGTCTTCATATCTTCAAATAGCAACATTGAATTGAGCCACATTACACATAGAGTAGGCCAAGCTCCGCTTACATTTTTGGTGAAGCCATTTCTATCGATATGCATCCATTATGCTGGATTTATGTGGATATTTTCATTTCGTTCATTATCAAGAGATTCGTGACTTTATTGTGAGGATCAGATTGATGCGGTTCACGAGTCATCCTATCTTGTCTAGGGTGAAAATGGGTTGAGCTTTTGTTCATCATATGACGAACATCATTAGAGCTGGATTTCATTACTGAAGAAGTCTCAAGTTGACATAAAATGTTTTGCTTATTTATTTTATCCTTGAGTATGTCTGCTGGTGTGTACGTATGCAACACCGGCCATTACTCAGAATAAGTACAAAAAAAAGAGCCTAAAGGGTCAACATAGCTTAACGACCCAGAGAAAAATGTAACTCAGATTGTATTTTCTTGATTCGTTAAGTCTTGATTACCCGGGGCTAATGTTAGGCTTTTTTATACTTACTCTGAGTTATGGCCGGTGTTACATACACACATATACAGGCAGACACACTGAAGTATAAAAGAATTTATCAAACTATTCTATATTCATCTACATCGAAATATTTTGTCGTTATGATTGCATACAGAATATGGGGTAGACATTCTCGACCTAATATTAATTTGAGGCTTTTTCAAAAATGAATCCCAGCTCAGATGAGGTTAGTCGTATGAAGAACGAAAGATCAGCATATTTTTACTCGTGACTATGGTTGATGGTTCGTGAACTGTGCCAGCCTGAGCCTCGTGTTAAAATCAGACGGTTGCAGTACAATGGGATCCAGCCGTCGTCTTCGGGTTAAATCATCCTACGAATCTCTTCATCAAGCACTTTCATCAGAAATGAAATTATCAACAACAATGTTATCTCAGAAGATTAATCGTAACCTGCTTTTTCTTCATATATATCATGTTAGATACCCTAATGCAATTGTGCTAGTAAACAAGAGGTAACAAACGCTCCTGGCGCTAGGATCGCTTGTCTCAAGGTAAGTATTGCCTTCTAAATCTGCATTATCTGGCGTCGAGCCCCATTGGTGGGTTTGTGAGATCCTATTAAGGCTAAAACTGCAGTCCACCACGAAGTCGTAAGCATTTTTAGCATAACTAATACAAAATCAGGCCTTCTTTCCATTTGATTGTATACAGAATCGTTATCAGTCTTGTCAATATCCTATGACAATCTGGCATTTGTATGAGATGTATTCAACCTATTTTATGTACAGTGATAAGTGGACTGGTAATTGAATTTTTCCACAATGATATAAGTAGACATGACGGTTCCATTGAATTTCACATAGCTTTGTTTTGCCAAAATGTATTTCTATTTTTGGATGGACTGCAGTTTTGACCTCACCTTGGTCTTAGCAACAACCCCGGCGAGACTCGAGCCATAACACTGCAGCATACGATCTCTACACAGTAACCACTACGCCACAGTGCAATGAGTTCCCTTGAGTTACGGAGCAGATTTGCATTCCAAGAAAGACTAGGCATTCTATGGTAAAAGTGTCGATGAAACAAAGTTGAATTTGCTATAGCAATCGGCTGCGTTACTTATTTTTCGTTTTATACATTGCCTTTTGAGATTACTAGTAAATATGTTTCATATGTAAGTAGAGTTTCTAGATAATTTACTTCATCAAAACCCACCACATAATGGGAAAATGCCTGACCTCCTTTGAAATTAAAATCTGCTTTGTGACCCAAGGGCACTCTTGGCAGTGTGGCGTACTGGTTAACGTGTCAATATCATACGCTGCAGTGTCATTGTTCGAGTCTAGCTGAGGGTGTTGATAAGACCAAGGTGAGGTCGAAACTGTAGTCCACTCCGGATGAGAATAACTTTTGGGGGAAGCAAGGCTATGTGAAATTCAATATAAACGTTACGTTTACTTATACCATTGTTGTAAAATTCTACTACCAGTCTCCTTATCACCTTAAACGAAATAGGATGAAAACACCTCATACATATAATCTACTGTTAGTCTCGAAAGTCTATTTATAAAACGAAAAATCTTGCATTTTATACTACATTCCCCGACTTAACGTATACGCATGGGAACTTTACTTATAACTCATTACATCATCTTATGAAATCTAGGATGAATAAAAGTTCTTCTGCACCATATAAGAATTATTTTACAGCTTAAACATGTGACATTTGATTATGTCGTCCATTGTACGGGCGAATATAAATTTGTCTTTATCACGCCAGTCTTAGTTAAAATGTGATTTGGAGAAGGTCTGGTCTTCCCTGTAAGTCAGGCTTGACTATTTAAATCCTTAAGTCTTTGTGTTCCACTTATGCAATATCATAAGCAATAAGGCAAGAATGCGTCACTTCTAAAGAGTATTTAGGATGAGTTGTCCATATAACCAATACATCTGCATGTTCTCGATTAATCCATCACAAATAGAAACTTGCTCAGCCTATTTCGCTTAAAATGATGAAGGACGGATGGTGAATTTTCGCACAATAATTCGAGAAGCTCATAATACGACTGAGTTTCACTTACCCTTAATTCTTAAATAGTTTTCTCGCCCGAGTTTGACTAGACGGCAGTTTCGACCTCGCTTTGATCTCACTAACACCCCTACCTGGACTCGAACCCGGGCAGTTAGCGTATCATTTCGACTTACTATCACTACGTTAGAATGCCACGAGTTCCAGTCGGTCACAGAGCCGATACTAATCTTAAGGCAAGCTAGGTCTCTTTCATATCACATTTTCTATAGCAAGAATACCTTTGGGAAGCATCGCGAGGTTCATTCATCTGACTGTGGAGAAATTTATTTGCAGTCTTTCATCATCTAAAGCTCTTATTCTAGTTCTGATGAGAGTCTCGAAATACTACTGTCTTAGAATATAAGTAAAGATTAATGCCATCATCTTAATGTGGAAAAAAACTCAACTTTCCCTATTTGACTTAGTTCTTGTTCTCTAAATAACTGGCCAGGATAAAGGGAATTTGTCAACGATATGAATGGTTGCTTACTCAGAATGTTGATTAGGTCTGTATTGGTCTTTTGACCGTCGCCGAGTGCCAGTGCCGCTGAGCCGTTTGGGGGTGAGCTTTTCTTGGTCTGGTATTGTGTAGTCTTTCTTGCCTCTTCTAAACGTATTGTTTGGTTGGTTTGTGGAATTCCAGTCCCGTTGAAAATGGGGTTAACAAGGCAAGTAGAGAATGTGCTAGGAGTAATGCATGTGGTCGGGGGTAGCGATGGTACGTTTGGCGGCGGCGGTGACGACGATGATGATGAAATGTGGGCCAGGCAAGGGTAA